CACAAACAATATCTGCATTACTTTATCAAGGTTTAGGTGTCTTCTGGCATCACTTTCGTTCTCGCGCAACCTGGCCTAGTAACCAAGTAGTTGTAGTTGGCTGCATAGATGTAACATCTCATGAAATTCAAGTTCCTTTGACCGAGCTTCAGAGAGGCTTTTACTGTGGACATAGACATTTCCACCTCATGAACACTCAAATGATATGCGACATTTCTGGCCACATTCGATTTCTCCAGACTGGGTTTTTAGGTAGCACACATGATTCCCAAAGCTTTCGTTCAATGAATTCAATAGGGCCTGGGATGGCGCTTGATTTCCCGCCAAACATATTTCTTTTAGCGGACAAAGGCTATGCAGATATCCCACCTCTTTTAATTCCATTCAAAGGAAATCAGATCCGTTGCATTCGTAACCAAAGACAAGGAAGAAAAGCTAGACGCTTTAACCGTGAACTTTCGCAAAAACGCATGAAAATAGAACATTTTTTAAATATCTAAAAGATTATAATTGTATTTCTGGAATATGGCGGCATCGGAGGTGGTCATGAACTAAAAATAAATAAGAGAAATGTTTTGAGAGAGCTTTGTTATGAGGACCACTGTTATTAAAAAAAGTGAAGCCCTTTATGTGGTTCTCTCATTGTCATATAATTCCCCTTGCTTGCAAAAATCTCGGCTAACTCTAAAACAATAGGGTGTCAAAGAATTACCATACCTAAGGTCAAGAAATGTACATTAGCATGTATAAGGTACCTGTGCGGAAAAACTCGGCTTATCGTGATTTATCAGTAAAGAATACATGTGTTTAGGTCTCGCAGGTTGGGGATACCGGCCCAACGACACAAGAACGCGTGACTACGAATAAGATCAAATGTAAACAATCACCATGACAACAATCCTAACTAGTGAAAATTACCATAAAAGGGAGTCATTAAAGCCATTTTGTTTAATTGGTTTCAATAAAACTTCAGAGTCTTACGTACAGCACTCTACCGAAAGACGTCAATAATGAGGTCATGATCGGCCGTCATGGAAGAAAATCTAGAATAAAGTGAGCCTTTCCCTTTTTATTCGATTGACAGCTAGAACACGAAACAATGGTTTCAAGTCGAGGGTGAACTTAACGAATGAAGGAATCAAGTTAAGTCTCGACTTCAAACCATTGTTTCGTGGTCATACAAGTGAATTCTGGAAAAGTCTATTACAAAGAAAGAAATGAAAATGGGCACATACGCGTTTAAAATGTAATTTTTATTTGTATTTTGGATAGATAATAAGGTATCCATGCAAGAGGGCTAGGGCTGAAATCAGAGTTTTCAATTCTGTTTTTTTTTTTTTAACACTCTTAACCTCGTTAGACATGCATGCATAGCAACGGTAACTAAGGGGAGTGAGAAAAAGACTGGTTATGAGGCGTGATTTCTCACACGATTGTGATCAGCTCCATGAATAACCAAAATTTCATTTTTATCCAGACCGGTAGTTTTAAGAAACGGGCGTTCTAATTATCTGAGCTAAGACTTCTTCGAACTGAATTAGAATGTAAGTCAAATAAATCCCATTCTTAAAGAATGCGCAAATGAAATATGTAAATGACGTATCATTGTCGTAAGCGTCATAGTGAAGAAAAGCCTTCCTTATCAAGGCATTTCCTATAAAAAGGGAAAATAATTTCACTCTAAACTTCAGTTTGTAAAGATTACTTCGTACGATCTAATCCTACGAAGAGTACTATTTAACAATTCTCATCGAGATACGTTTATACTCGGCGATGGAAAGGAAGAAAACCAGTGCTCCAGGTATGAAAGTTAAAGGAGTACGAAAGGCCGTTCCTGTCGCCAAAAGTAAAGAAAAAAGTAAAAATCAAAGTAGCGACAACGGTTTGGTCTGTGACAAGAATACGGCCGTAGAGAAAAACTTGTGTACTGTGGTTACTGACAATCAAACCAAGAAAGAACCCCAGAAATGCAGACAAAAGAGAATAAAATTAAAAATTAAAAAAGTAGAGCCTGCCAGCGACAACGAAAAACAGACACTCCAATCACCAGGTAATAAGGACGAAGACGCCATCAGTCCAAAATGTACAACCTCCAAGAAAAAGAAAGAAGGCGCAAATGGTCTGCAGTTTCCTGTAAAACCCCCGTTACCAAAAATACCAGACAAAACACGAACAGATGCCTCAAGCCCACAACCAAGAGCCGACTGCCTGGATCCCAAATTGGCATGCGAAAAAGAGAGGGGGTCCCTTTCACCACAGTCACCTGGAAGAAAGAAGGGGTTCGTTCAGGACCCCATTTACCTTAAGAGTGCTCCATCTTCGCCCACAATCCCCGAACGCTCACTCCACTCGTCTACTAATGAGGGCAATCCAAGCAACAAGAGATTGCCGATAAAATCATCATCAAGTAGTCCCATTCGGAGAAGACACGGTTTCGCTTGTAACACGAAAGATGACAAACAAGACTCGAGTGAGAGTCGCCGAGAGGCTCTCTGCAGTACGACTGATATGTTTTGTACCGAGCGAAGAGTGGTTCGCATAGTAAGGAAAAAGTTCTAATACCAAGATACCTCCAAGATCCTGTAAAAAGAACTCATAAACAACACTATTCTATCGTTTTTCCTGTTACGAATCGTCTAAAGTCAGTACCAGTATTTAACAATTATTCGCCAAAGGCGAAGCGAATATCGGGGAATAATAACCGAAACGAAGTTGAGGTCATTATTCCCAATATTCTCTGAGCCTGAGGTGAATATTTATTTAGTATAAATACATAGGTGATTCTTTCAGCAAAAAAAAAAAAAAAAAAAAAAAAGACGAAGAAGAAGAAGAAGATAAAAGACGCATTTAAAATTAGGGGCAGCAACAAAGCGGCTGGCCGCCATTTTGGATATTATCGCTGGAGGTGATTATCGTGTGATAATCTGAGTTTCTCGACCACAATCAGCGCGCGAGATTTTCAATAAACACCTGTGTATTTATACTATAGAACGAGTAGTATGAAAGAACTAATCATAATTGGTGAACTTTCCTAAAATTCGAATTCAACTTCCATTTCTGTTTTTGTAAATACCATTTCCCAGGACTAGTCCTCATAGCCGCCATTTTACTTAAATTCGAAGTACTTTTTGTCCATAATCGTCGTTATTTAATTATCTATTATTTATGCATAGTACCATAGATGCCAATGTCGATTAAGCACCACGCAGTTATCTCAGTTGGTAAGAGCATGCGGAAGGGGACCAAAACATTCAGCACGTTAAGTTAGAAGGTGCTCGCTGCCTTTGTAACTACATATCTCGGTAGACCACGTTAATGGCGGTCCCGTCCCTAATCAACTATGAAACGTTAAATGAAGAGGACCACAATTTTATCAGTTCGATTATTGTCAAGTTTCATCCCGTATAAACAAAGTTGATTTATTTAATTTAATTTAATAATTTATCGATGTGACTTTTTCTTGGCTTTGCTAGTAAATGAATTACATTGACATGACGATTATTAGGCATTAAAGTTAAAGTTAACATTAACTAGTAAATATATTTGTATTTAATTAATTTATTTATATATGTGAATTCTTTTCTTTTGTATTTTTCTTGGCTTTGCTAAAATGAATGACATTGACATGACGATTCTTCGGCATTAAAGTTGAAGTTAACATACTAGTAAATATATGTGTAAGTTTAAGCATGTTGCGGTCCAATTCATTATTAGGGACTCAGTTGCATCAAAGAGTGTTAAAGAAGACGTAAAGAATCAGTTGTTGGATACCATTCGATAATATACAATTATGCATCGTCAAGCGTTTGGCGCCACGGTGTGTTACATTTGCTCATGCGCACTACATTTACCCGGTCAAAAACTGGTTTCGTTCGTCCACAATCGTGGAGGCAGTGTATCAAAGGAAACGCTCTACATCGGCAGTCCCCCTCCTCCCCGCCTAAAAGGAGATTAAAGGAGAAACTGCTAGCAGGGAAATTTGAATAAAAAGTAAGTATACAACAATTAACTATCTATATGTAGTTAGTATATTCTTTCAGATGAAATGCACTAAAACTAACTAATACTAATTATTAATCCTACTTTAGACAATGTCACTGACCCACAATGCACTTCGGTCTTGGAATGCACTATTCAACCTCTTTTGAAATAGCTGTATATATTTACCAAAAATTTTTTTTAAAAAGCCCAGCTTTTTCCGCGCTCCGTTCAGTAATAAAGCATGCAAGAATTGGCGTAAGCACGAAGGAAGTGTAAGGAGAAGCACGAGCAGTCTCACACTTATTTATAACTTTGTTTATGAATATTTAATACCATGTGATGCCACTCTTGGGAGTTGATTCTTTCATATGTAAAAATTTTAACATGCTCGTCATAGTCTAAAAGAACAATTATCTAGGGAATGTCATGTGATCTGAAATGGGAGATATGCTAAAAAGTCCATTCTTGTGTATCATACTACATCACGAAAAATGTCAAGGCATGGAATGAAATGGTGGAAGAACAAGCCCAGAAATGAAACCGCACCAACAGAAAATGAGCAATGAGGCAGACAAGAACTGTAGTATGTCAGTTTACAATGTATTTGTTCTGATATTAAGATCAAATTTAATTATTAGTGTTTGAATAATGTGAAGTTGCGCGTATATTAAATTAATCTTGAGATTCCAACTACATGTAAGACAACAGTTGTAAAAAATAAATTCATAAGACAGTTTCTCCAATCATCGTCAGCTTGTAGCCATGATGACTAGCTAATTTTAGGATCAGACATTCCAAGGTTGATGAAAAAATTGGGTCGAGTTTCCAATGCAGTGCATAGTAGGGCTGTTTTAAGGGACGAAATAGCCGCCATCTTGGAAACATGTCATCTAAAACAGCCCCTAAACTCACAGCAATAGACCCTTTTCGAGTTCCAAATGACCGCCGTGTTTCTTGATTACAGACTAATTTACTCAGGCTTATCTCGAATCAGTGTCTAAATATTGACAAATACCAACGGTAAAGTAAAGAATGCACAACTTCAACATTGTTTTAAGGGACGAAATAGACGCCATCTTGGAAACATGTCACCTAAAACAGCCCTTACTAAGGCTTAGCCTCGAATCAGCGTCTAAATATTCACAAATACCAACGGTAAAGTAAAGAATGCACAACTTCAACAATACGGACACTTTGAAACTTGACGGACCTTGACTAGAACACGTGAATATTCTACACAAAACCGAGGCTAACCCTGAGTAAATGAGTCTGTAATCAAGAAACACAGCGGTAATTTAGAACTTGAAAAGCGTCTATTCCACCTCGCTCCAGTTTTCATCAACCTCGGAAGGGCCAATAGTCACTTCTTAAAAACCACCACATATTCAGGGTCTATTTACATTTAAAATGTTGTTGTCATTTAAAAAGTAAAATTACTGGTACAATGTACTCTAATGATCTCATCAAAGCCTTACGAATTATTTTWAAAAATGCTTAAAAATAAACTATAATTACTATTTTAAGATTATCGGCTTCAATGGGTTTTTTTTATCACACGATGGCCTACACGAGTATAGCAAGGCCTGGTCTGGTAAAATTGTGCTGATCCATTGTCATTCTGATAGTTGACCACCTTATTACTATCGTTATTATAAATTATAATAATCATTTAACTGTAAGTTGTAGCCCGTTTGTATTCAGCAATAATACAGTATTAGTAGTATTTGTGTTCTTCCACAGGGCTTGACGTCATCACTTAATGAATGTTCATCGCTGCTTGAGTCTGAGCATCTCACAAACTTGTTCGAAGTCTCAGCACCCAGTGCCATTCAAATATATGCTGTCACCCACAGGTCTCAATACAGACCACATCCTTTCAAATTAGTAGCTATAATTGTGTCCGTTACTGCATTAAATACAAAATTGATGTTTTGTGTGTCCGTCGCACAAGTCAGGTGAGTGTATATTTCTTTTTCATCGTTTAAGTTCTTTGATTCAAATTGTTTTCTTATATATTTTGCACCATCATCGAATGTGTTCGGTCCTGTAACAACAACAGTATTGACGTCATTATCAAAGAATATAAAGATATAAATATAAATATATAAATATAAACATAAATATATATATATATATGGGGACAAAATTGAACAATACACCGAATGGAAACACGGTGAAATATCAATTTCAATAACTATTGTTCTAGACTGACTAGCCTCTCAAACACGCAAAAAAGCTCTTATTTTTCCACGTGAACACGAGGCTAGTCAGTCCAAAGCAGAGCAATAGTTATTCTAATTGGTTGTCATATTTGGATTCAGTGCATGAATGCACCTTTTTTACTCGGTCGCCTTCTTGGTTTGAATAGGATTAGTGGCCCAGAGAGGTGGGAGAGTGGCTGTGCATTGGGAGCATAGTGGCCCAGAGGGGTGGGATAAGTGGGTGTGGAGTGGGGGCGTAGTGGCCCAGAGGGGTGGGAGAGGTGGCTGTGGAGTGGGGGCATAGTGGCCCAGAAGGGTGGTAGAAGTGGCTGTTGAGTGGGGGTGTATTGGCCCAGCGGGGTGGGAGGGGATGGNGGGGGTTGGGGTGGCTGTGCATTGGGGGCATAGTGGGGTGGGAGAAATGGCTGTTGAGTTGGGGCATAGTGGCTCAGAGGGGTCCTAGAAGTGGCTTTGGAATGGGAGGAAAGAAGGATGGAAAAACGAAAAGTTGGAAGGAACAATGTTTATGACAGTGTGGGGGAGAGAGAGAGAGAGAGATTCATAGTGCTAGGAAGGAAAAAAAGAAAGGAAAGAAAGAAGACCCTTGGGAAAATGACCTGTTAGAACTACTACTGTACATCAATATTAGTCTATCCCATCAGAAGGGGTATACTAAATAAAGACATTGTACTCAATGGATTGACATGTGCCTGTTAAACTCGCTTATTCAACCCACCTGGATAATCAGGAAAGCAAATTGTTAGAGAGAACTTTGTAATTTTCTCTTCAAACAAATCCTTCTTGTTAAGAAATAAAATTACAGATGTATCCAAAAACCATTTATTGTTGATGATGGACTCAAAAAGTTTCAAGCTTTCATCCATACGGTTCTGAAAAAAGTTGATTAAGACAATCAGAAGTCACACAGCATCATTCATTATTCATTTATAGCCACCACTCCCTGTACAGGGCTCTTCAGAGAGGTTACCCCCCCCCCCCCCACACACACACACACTACCTCTACATTGAATGAAGGAAGAGATTTCATTGAATGAAGGAGGAGATTTTAAGCAAAAACTCAAGGTCATTTTCCAAACCCCATTTTCCCTCATCAACTTTCATGTATTCCTGTTAGTTAGTTCTGTAATTAATAATAACTAGTTGTTCATTACACCATGGACGTTTTAATAAATTATGCAATTAAAAAAGGGGGTCACCATTCTCGTTTCTGTGCTACATGACCTCAAAATATGCAGACAAAATATGGCCTTGATAACATGGCTGAAGTTGAATAAAAATAACACCATCCCTTGCAAAATTACATGTTTTAAACAAGCTTACGCAAGACAAGCTTAAGATTACAAAAGGTAATCTTAATTAGTTTTCTAGCTACATGTACTAAGCATTTAATAATATTCAAGTAATATTGTACAAATGCAGCYGTTATGTTGAAATATTGAACTACATGTACAAGTCATGTACTCTTGAGTCATCCTGAAATCGAACCTTCATCTATGCTTACCAATTAATAAATGCATTTGAGAAATGTAATTTTTTCATATTTTGTAGGTGGATGCTCTACGGTCTCCTAAGTTAATATGTGAAATAGAAAGTGGTGGTTACCATTCTCGCTTTCAATTTATTTTGGAAAAAAAAACATTGCAAATTCCAAAAAACCTCACACTATTTATCGGATGACAGACTGGGTCGAATTTTCCAAAATCACAAAAAGAAAAACAAAGTTAAATTTGAAAGGAAAATGGCTAAACTGTGCAAGTTCCATGATTTTACTCCTATGCACAGAAAAATGTGTAGTGCTAAGTGAATTTTCTCTTCTCTTCTCTTCTCTACCCCACCCCCCTCCCCCAATCCCTCCAAACACAGTGACAAATACAGTATTTAAATGTCACTAAAACAAAAATTCAACAAATGAGATAGACGGTTGTATAACCTATGAATATGACATGCAGGAAATAGATGGAAAAAGCAGCTTCTCTATTAGCATACAGTATCCCAATTACCACACCTGGGTTTATAAAAAGATCACATACAATACAGAATTAATATAGTATGTGGTCTTCTTACCCAAACTAGGCACTAAATAATAACAATACTAAATAGGTTAAATAGGTGAATCTATTATAACATAATAGAAATTACTATAAATCAACAATTATAGCCTTCATACATTTATTCGGGTAAAATGTCTATGTATATTCTAATACTTGATACCAAATACAAACGTCTGTCTGTTTGTCTGTCTGTCTATGTTTAAGATTTCATAATTAAGGGTTTTTGGTTTGGCTTACACGTTGGGGAGGGGGTGGGGGATTTATAAAAGGGAGTAACAAATGTCTGACTTTCCTTTTATAAAACTTCTTTAAAAGCCATGTCCATTTCAACTGAAAAATAGTATTTTTGCTTATTTATTTACCAACAAACAACTCAAGCATTCGTGACGAACGCCTCTAAATAAAATAAAATATAATTGTCTTAAGGGTCATACTCATTATACTCACTGTTGTTTCATCTTCTTCTAATGTCAGGTCATAAGCACTCAGAGCCACACAATATATTATAGCAGTAACATCTTCAAAACAGTGAATCCATTTTTTTCGTTCTGAGCGTTGACCTCCAACATCAACTAACCTGCGATGGAAAAAACAAAAAATTTAAAAAATCATATAAACAAATCAGTATCAAATTTTGAATAAAAATGGGTAATCATGTACTTTATGACCAGCATACACATGTTGRTTAACAATCATTGTAGTCAACGCACAGCCTACAATCAGCCAATGCTCCATGCAAGTGCCGCATTGGCTGACTGTTAGCCAATTGTCAACTAACACATAGACATTATGTTGACTGGTCATTAAGTACACAATTATCCTTAAAATGCAGCATTGGCTGAAGAGTCTGGACATACTGTTATTTAAACTTGCTATTTTCCTATGCCAACAGTTCCAGTGCTTGCAACAACATGTATGGATTATATTGATCATTCATGGCCCAACAAACATTCATATTAGTTATGAATTTGGTAAGAACATGTTTTGGTGTACAATGCAGTATATCAAGCAACTTATGCTGCTGCAAATTAAAAGACACAGAACTTGTTTTTTGGTTACATTGTGTTCACACCCAGCTAGATGCATCTGACATAATTAAATGAGTTGACAGTTTGCAACCAAGAGGGAACAAAGAGCAAAGGGGGCCAATGGGAAACTATTCCAGTATCATGGTATTTTAGACTGCACATGTTAAATTTTAAGCCAGCACTATATGTGTCCTACTTATAAAAACCCTCAGCTATGTATCCCTACAGTAGCCATCAGAAAACTGGCTAGTATACAACTAAACAGTTCCTCTTACTTGAAGTGAAGTCTCTTGTGATCAAACTGTACTTCCACGATTCCAGTTGTTTTCACTCTTGTTCTTAGAAGATCTTGCTCCGTTGCTTCATAGTCTTTGGCTCCTATCCGATCTAATGAATCTAAATAACTAAAAGAAGATAAAAGGTCGATTATATCAAAACAGTCAACAACAAAAAAAGACTTCATAGCTGCAGTATTCAATATTAAGTAAACTCGGCAGCTTCAAGCTGCATGCTAAAATTATTATTTTTCACTCCCCTCAATTACAAAAATCAGTTGATACATTTTATGCTTTTGACTGTGGCTTTGAAAAACCTTATTCCAATGAGTGACTAGTCTTCACTACAGACTCCTTGTCTTATTGACAATTGCAGTAAACATTGGTTAAAGAAATCAGAGAAGGAAGACAGATGCAATTTTTTTAACCCCACCTATAGATACATACTGTATAAAAATCGAAAGTTAAAGAGGGCTTCTGACATAATAACTCTAAAAAATGATAACAAATCGTTTTAAGGAAAAAAAGAACAAAATTGTATTTCTTGAACAATGAAGTGTTGTTTGCTTTTGTTGTTGTTATTACGTAATGCCGCATTTCCCCCCGCATAATTTTCCATTCTTTCCACATAATCAGGAAAAAAAATCCCTCATAATTTAAGCTTTTTCTCCGTACTCTGTCAGAAGCCAGTGATTTAAGGCGTAAAAACTTAAAAAGAGAAGATTATTTTGTTTTCAATGTAAAATATCAAAGCATCAAAGTTTTCATTTTTACAGCTTCATTATGAAATCTGTCTTACTATTAAATTTAGATTACAATTCTGAAAAGGTTTGTTAATGGTGGGAGGAGGGAGGTTGGGGGCAGTGTTCTGGCCAGGAATTGCTTTCAGGGGGTCAAAGGACCCACCAATCCAAAATTTAGGGGCCATTTAGAAAACTGGATGGTCCATTTCCAAAATCTTAAAACAAAGAATAATAATGTTTTTTGCCAGTAACTCTGTTGCAAATCTACCACAATGTAAGACAGTTTTATTAGTAGTGACAACCAAATAAAATTTCGCTGGGCAGCCATACTTGAGCCTTCAATAAACAAGGTCAGTTAACACAGACTAGTCCCAGACCTCTTGGCGAGTGAAATACAAGATGGTGGCTATGCTCAATTCGTGTTGCTTCATGTGGACTTTCACCTTGTTTATTGACAATATAATGCAACTTTGAATATTTCAAAAGTACTATAAATCTTTTAAAACTATCAGGAAGTATTCTTTTGGGGGTGCATAGAGTTGACATCTGTGTGCCATATCTGTTTTTTATGCCTGAATTTTGCAATGGTGCGGCCTGGTAAGAACACTTGGGAGGTGTGTGTGTGTGTGTGTGTGTGGGGGGGGGGGGGGGGTTAGGGGGTTACAATTTTGATTACATAACCAGGTGGGATGTGGGTGCTTGCAAAAAAGAGGGAAAAAGGGAAAAGCACTTAAATGTAAACGTAAAACAACACAAATGTAAAACGCCTCTCATTCATGATTTGAAAAAATTTGCTTATGTGTAATTAAATTTAACCTGTAACAATGATCCACAAAAGCTTATAATTATAAAGCTTTGAAACACCAATGTGCTTAAAAGAACTATATTCTCTCATCAACATGAAGAACTTGAAGTACCATTGTCAAAATTGAAAAATGCTTTCTTAGTTATTACATGCATGTATTGATCAAGACAAAAGTTGCAATAGATAAATCAGCAATAGACTAAATCACTCTAAATCAAATAAAGCATTCCCTGCATGTATGTTACCTTTACAGCACATAATAGATCTCTTACCCATCGTATGCAAATTGCCCATTTCAGACCATGTGACATTCCCCTAAGAATTGATCTTTTTATGATAAGCATTTTAAAATATTTCAGAATGAAAGAATCAACACCCAAGAGTGGCATCACATGGTCTGAAATGTGCACAACAAACAACGAAGGTAATTTAAAGAGGTCTATTCCCAATTTGTGCAAAATTATACAATTGTCGTCACGACAAAGTAGGTTTTGCTGGATGTCAATCAATGCATTTCCATGACATTCCATGGACACGTGCCTTTGAAATCTTTATGTTTTCTATCGATGTTTTAGAATATGTCTTGAATAAACTCCACAAAAACCCTAATTTGGCACGATGGCAAATGGTAAGATTTTGTGCGTCTGATTTGGAAGCCCTGTAAGTACTCTAATGCCTTTAGTTGATTAATTGATTAATTAATTGATGGTAGTCTATTGCCAATTTACTTGTCACAATCAATTTTTGTCTCACTCTTTAGGTAGTAATAAAACTCAGTGACAAATACTCAAGCTATGGAAATTAAATGCGCAACACTCAATACTCCGTAAAAATCAACATGTGAGCTGAGCGTTGTGTGCATAAAATATTAAATGTAGTGGTAGTGCGTGTGAGCAGAAAGTGTCCCCAATTAGTGCAAAAGCACTAGAATGACTAGACACTTAAATAAAAGTGATCTTTAAGGGTGGATCCAGGGGGGATGATTTGGGTGAATTGTTACTCCCCTTGGAATTGAAAAATAATAAGAATACAGGATAAGGTAAGACCTTTAAAAATATGCTATGTGGTGCTTTCTATGTAAAAGCCACCCCCTTAAAATTAATTAAACCATGATTGAACCTAATGAGTTTGACCCTCCCCCTGGATCTACCACTGAGTAGATTATAAAGATAAATGCTGTGTATAATTTTAACCCCCCATATGGGTCTAAACTTCACAAAATAACCTTAAAAACAAGAGATTTTGAAAGCGCTTATGAGAGCTATATGTGTGTGTTGACATGTAATTACTATCTATTTAATATTATCCACATTTAAAAACTCATCAGAATTAGGGAAAAATTCATAGTAAGAGTGAGAAAACAAGTTACTTAATGTATCCCTTTGCATCAAAATGAGAGGCTCTAGGGATCTGCAATCAGTGTTAATTCTATGCACAAGAGTATGTAATAACAACAACTCATATAGTTGTGGCTAAGTGTAATGTAAATGTTTGTCAAACAAGCCAACTGAAAATTGACCACATGATACTAAACTTTACTTCACCATTTTTTATTTATTTTTATTTCAAATGAATGGGTAAAATCTAGTGTTTTGTAATTAAAACACACAAAAACACACCTGGCCTATGGTAAGACATTATTTTACTATCATGACTGTTATGATCTACATTAGCTTTAATGTCAACTACAATCATTTCCAAGAAAGAAAATATCAGAACTGCTATTATGGAAGCTCATTCCTAGTTCACTTGAGAAAGATGGAATTGGTTGAGCTATATATATATTGTGGAAAGTTGCATTTGTCATATGTTTGAATATATAAGAGAAAGTTTTGTTATCTTTCTATTGAGGGTTTGTCTGTATCAGACTCTCAATGCTTGTAAACAACTAATTCAAGTTCAAGTTCATTCACTGTTTATTTTCAAAAGCAACACACACATAGCTGAAAGAAGTAAAAATAAACTCAAGTTAGGTTTTTACACTTAAATTTTTGTTTTTAAAATAACACTGGCCAACAGATAATTAATTAGTCAACAAAATAACTTTCTAGTTTCTTGTAAGCACATTCCCAATGTCAACATGATTGTTTACCACGAACTAAAATTTCAATGCCAATAAAATGCTGATTCATAATAAAAGAAGATAGCTACATGAATCTAGTTGTGAATTTGAAAAATCAAGTTAAAATGAGCAAAAAATAGTTGTTAAAAACATCACAGTCATATAAGTTATTGATAGAGTGGTGCAAGTGCTTGATTATGAATGCAAATTGTAGAGCTCTGCATGATATGTTTTACTTCCAGGGTTAAAAACTAATAGATGACATCATTATTTTTTACATAATATTAACACAAAAAATCAGACCACTAGAAAACACCTCCAGGTTTTTTGAACATGTAAAAACATTATTAACTATGTCCAGAATATCCAGGATCATAATACACTCAACAATAAATTCATTTCCAATACTAACATATATATCTTGTTATTGGAGGGGAAAAACTTGCCATAGACGTAATTTGCAAATTTAAATCCAGGTAAACAAGCTGGAAAACAACACAGTTGCTCCCAAGTTCCAGCACATTCTATAACCTTTCTTGATTTAAGTTCAACAAAAATATGTCTCTGTGAAAAACACTGAAACATGGACACATACTTGAGATTTAAGTATGTGATAGAACATGTTATTTGCGTCATTTCCAACTCTGTTGGTCAAACAAGGATCTCTGATTTCTATTTAGCATTGGTAGAATATGACCTAACTATATATAGGTTAGTGGAAGCCAATGGATAATAACAGTTCAAGAAGTCTGAGAGGAAGCAAAACAACCTATTTTGGATTTTGTTGGAGTTTTTGAGAATTTTGTCCCAGACACCTTTCTGTACACTAAATGTTGTGTATACTAATTTTCTGTCAATTTTACATTCCACTAAATTTTATTATTTGTAAACAAACACGCTCCAATGATCCCAGAAATGTTGTTGGAAGAAAAAAATACCTTAATAGTGTATCAATATAATAGGGTACAATGCTAGCTATTTGCAGAAAAGGCGGAAAACAATTTATTATTTACTTTTCATAAGTATTTCTTCTAATTTCTCTTCAAAATGAAAAAGCCATATAAAGGTGGACAGCTTCTCAATAATTCAATGTTTCTAATAGCTCTAGATTCTAGCGAAATCTGTTTTAGTACTGGCGTCAAAACGCATCCAAAACATTACGTTCTCACTGGGTTTATTCCTAAGCCCGCCTTTAGCAATTTAAATATTACTCCAAGTCTTTGGGGAACTGATTCAAGAATAATATGATAGTACTGTATATATCACTACTACCCAACCATCAAATCAGCAAAGGAATTTATCCAAAAAGCATTCAACCTTTGATAGGTATTTAATTCAAAATTTACAAATAACGTTTCTGATGATAAACAACTATGGCTTTAATAAGTGTGAAAAATATATACAAAAATAGGCTATTCAAATGGGGAGTGCTGAATAAATAAGTTGGACTGTAGTAAAATGATGTCACTGTGTTCACAACTCGTACTTTTTAATATTTTCACTTACTATTTAGCGGAATCTCCGAGTTGATATTCTCTTGATCGACTAAAACACTGTTGCACACCAGAATCCTGCCATAATCTTTTCATAGACTCGGTTAATTCGGGAGAAAAAGGTTCTGTATCGTCTGCTCTGGCTATAACATCGAATACCATTTTAGCATCCATCTGAAAGACCAGCAAACAATAAGAATAGCCTTCAGCCAGAGAGAGGGGTAAAGGAGCAACAGTTTGTTGAGGTGTGAGGCCATTTAAGTGATTTTTAAACGCGATAACTGAGACTCACATAAACTAAGGAATAAATTCATGAAATAATACCAAAAAAGTGTATCGAAATCTCACCAGTCTTTCATCGTTTTCAAAGTCAATCCGTAATTTATCCATTGCACGGATAATTGTAAGAAGAGAGTAGATGGTATTGCTAAAAACAAGCGGCTTGTACTGTCTGTAATCTTCGGGTGAAAAGCCATGATCATGAATGATCCTAGAGAATATAAAGTCAACAATCGATGAACACATTTAACTCCACCAAAATAACAGAGAAACGAAAATAAAAGTTAGTTGCACCCAATCTGTAGTCAAGGAAGAGGTCAAAATACGATACCCATACCTCATTTGTTTGACAATCGTACTTTTTCCTGACTCTCCTGCACCTAAACACAGATAAATTAGAGCCATCAGAGCCTTAGATTTAATATCTTAAATATGAAATAATGTGCAAACTATACGAGATCGTTGTAGGAGAGGTTGAAGTCCACGCCTCCTCGTAACAGCTCAACTCCAACTTTGAAATCAACTGCATATCCCTCTATGTTTGCAACATTCTTGGTTAAATATTTTCACTTACAGCAAGATACCTTCAAAAAGCAAGGCTCAGATATCCTAAGTTATTAAAGATCTGTAAAATGAGTTCGGTCTTAAAGGAATATTTGCCGTATCCCAGACATAAATACACCAAAATACAAGCAAACAACCGTCTTAGTCCTACCGAGTAACAACAGTTTCACATCCCTTTCCGCCCGAGCTCCTTCAAGTTTGAGATTTTTTTCAATCGCTTTGCTCCTTGCAATGGCAGCTCTTTCTTCTGCACTTAAAGTGCAACCCATTCTGAAAAGGGAGCCAGGCTATGATGGCTGCTTTAGGTCGAAAACACAAGTAGAAAATAGCAGACTTCAACCTCCATTGGTCTCTCGGTTTCAGAGCGATTTTGGTCCGCGATTTCGCCCACGTTTTGACAGGCCCGCATAAATTATCTCTAGAATTAGTAATTTATTTGACCTCGGCCAATCACATCGCTAGAAAAACAATGCACAATCATCGGGCTGTCCATCGGAAACCACTCGGTTAGATCAAAAACAACATTCGGAAAGCTTTCGGTATTTTCGCCAAATCTGCCAGTGCCAACAAAATTTATCTAGGAAAACCAAATATTTCCTTGTTCAAATTCATATTTCATTCTCTCGAGATATGATTCAAAATTGGGAAAGAGCTTTTGATTTCCGTGCAGTCGTGACTAGCAGTTGCAGTAGAAATTAAGAATATTCTTATATGATATTAATTGAGGTCTATTTTCGTCCTTCCACTTAGGGATGCCGAAGTAAACAATCGTGTTCGTGGGCGGTCAAAAAGGCAACGGAAGTGATCGTCTTGACCATGGCACCGGTTCACTTTCGTTTATGTTAGCGACCCCGATTACACTAAACTGTAAGTATTGCCATAGTGTAGGGCCATAGCCACCAGTGAGGTTGGTCCGGTTTTAACAGTATCATTTTTATTGGTCTTTGTTCATTGTTATATATGATGTTGACAGTGCACAGTATTAGGGAATATAAAAGTTTTTTACCCTCAAAAATCGTTTTAAAATATGTATATATAACTGATTTGTTAATTAATCTAGTATATGATTAGTATTATTGTTTATTGAAAGTGAAATTGCCCTTTTTAATGCTTTCTTTTTTATCATCTAGTAACTTAACTGTATCCGAGCGGAAATACATATACGCATGGTTCTGGTCATGGAATGAAAGTTTTCACTTTCAAAGTGTTCATACATGAAAATAATAAGGAAATGAGCATTTTCAGCCATACTTGCTTTGGTTCATCAAAGGCAAAACAATAGCTTTGTTCTATGGAGTTTTCAAACCATTCCACTCCATTAACTATGATTTTATATATGTTTTTGCGTGTGGATTTTAAAATGATTGGAACGTACAGAGAGACCCATGATGTTCAAAAATGGGTGGACCGCGACGTTTCGACTGCTACTGCTACTAGTCTTCATCACGAGATGGTGTACTTATACCGTCAGTCTGGTTCATAGGATGACATTCGCCGAGACTGACGTTCAGTATATTAGAAGACAACCTTCCAATCTACACCATCGCCTGACGAAGACTAGCAGTAAAGCAGCCGAAACTTGCGGTTCGTGGTCCACCCAACCGGTCACTCGTGAGACAAACGAATAAGTGTCATATCTGATTTAAATCCACAATGAATGACCCTTTTCTTTTTAATATCATTTGGTGTTGTACAGCAGCGCTAGCCCTATAGTCAGAAACGAAATCTCAGCATAGGTTTATTAACGGTACGCAAAAATTTTTAGCTTGACTTTTGTCTTTTTTGATAGTGGCTGTGGGTGGTGGTATTTGCGGGATCTAATTTCGTATGTATACGCACATACACATAGATATTATTAGAGATCGTTTTAGGGTGAAATGTCTAATAAGTCATTTATTATCCAACTGAGCCTAGTTTTCCCCCAAAAGGCTTCGAAAGGAATATTCTTAAAAACCTAGTTTTCAAAAACGGTTTTTTACTGTACAAAACAACCTAGAGTACAAATATCGCAGGATATTTGTACTCGCTCCAGTCTTTCTCCTGCCTTATATTGTACTCTATCTTGAATAGTTGGACAGCAATCAGTAAGATCATATATCATTCCAAATGAGTGAGAAAGACAAAAGAAATGATTACGATAGCGTTAAACGTTTGAAAATTTATACTACACTGAGAGCTTTTTGCGAGTTTTTCGACTAGCTAGGGCTAAAGTGCTTCGAACAAAATACACACACACACAAATGCAAATCAGGATATCATTGAATGAACGCATTATATAATCAAGTAATCATAACTCATAATTCTATGAAGCAACAAAGGCTCAACATTTGTACCAATTCCTATAGGTTACTATCAATAAACGTCACTTCCGGTAATATACTGGTGTTTTGAATGGGAGGGGGGGGGGGGGAGCAAATTACTATTTAGAAGCTTGGAGGATCTTGGAGGTTGTACGTGTATCTTGATTTCTGGTGTCAGGCAGAAATAGTCAAAAACAATACTTTGATAACCGTTGTATGCTTTGACTTAAAATTTGCTAATTGTATATTAATTGCCCCCCAGTCAACTCGAAAAAGTCACGTGATTGACAGTAAGCAATTACAATAAAGAGTAAAACAGCAATAGTTTTGCATAAGAATTGAGAGCTTTTAATAATAATTTGACCATAAAAGTAATGAAGTAATCAAAAGGTGCTAATCTGTAGGGCCTAAACTAAGCTGCTTTTTTAGTTGTATTACGGAAGTATTGGTCAAAACCTCTGTAGTAATGGGATGTTCATGCACCCATGGCAAGAAGCTTTAGACCAGCTACAGCAGACTGAAACCCTGCGTTATAATCAGTAGCCACTTCGTTCTTGATGTAGTCGGACCGCTTATCTTCATACTGATCGTTGTTATCAGGACCACCTACTAATGCGCCTGTAAGGGTTTGTGGGTTGGGGCCAGGTTTGTTGTAGTCATTCCAGGTACACGATGCGGGTTTGGATGGACAGGAACTGGACCGATGATGAGGTCGAAKGGGAGGGTTAACGCCAAACCCAACGACAAAGCTGCGTCCACTATCTCCAAGCATGTAATGAATCTGCTTTCTTGCAAAGTTGCGGTATGCTTCTGGTTTTATTCCCAGGTCAGCAGCAACTAGAGCTAGGAAAGCTGTATTTGCAGAGTAGCGGTTGGGACCCCATGTGTCTCGCCATGCAAGCCCTTTGGGTGTATATTKAACGTCTCCACCTGGTAAMCAACTGTCTAGGAATGTCTGGGCGTCTTTCTTATAGGTTGCCTTGYCTGTTATCTCTGCCAATAATACTTGTGCTCCAGCCTTCTTGTCATCCCATGAAAAAGCCCAAGGCTTACTGTTYATGCCATATTGGGTGTAGTATCGTTCAGCTTTTTCAAGATATGCTTGCTTCTTGGTAGCTTTGTACAACCAGGCGGCTCCCCACACYAGCTCATCGTTGAAYCCACTGTGCGACYTGTAGAAGGATGCAGCATTTGGAATRGAATCGCTGTATTTTCCCCTATACTTGTCARCAAACTCGTACAGTTCCTCAGCATGCTTCACCAAAGTACTAGCATAGCCTTGGTTGGTWTGCGCAAAGGCAATAGATGTTGCGGCGAGAGCAGCGGCTGTTTCTGCTGCTAGTTCTGAGCCTGGTTTGCTTCGGGTGATCTTGAATGCAGGACGCTTCATGTTCATGTCTTCGGGACGGCCCCAATACCCGTGGTCAACGTTACCATCGCCTACCTACGAAGTAGACATATAATAGAAATGTGAAAAAATATATATGATTGAGTTGATTGTTTACCGAGATATAGGAGATAATTGGTAAAGTATGATGTACTACATACAACATAACGAGTGGAATTTAATATCGAAATGGAAGAGGACATTTTTCATTCAGGGGTATCCGAACGTCGAGGGGTATGAGCACCCCCTCCAAATACCCGACTTTCGAGAGCTCACTAACCTGTCCATAGAATTCAAACTTTGCAGTATGGGCCTTGATAAAGTAATCAGTTGCCCACTTTATAGAGTCCAACGCATTATCCAATTCTCCTGCCGCTTGGTAGGCATTTCTGTACTCCACGAGTCCCCAGGCTAATACAGTTACACTAGACGCCATAGGAAAACCAAACTTGACGAAGTCTCCAGCGTCATACCATCCACCAGTCAAGTCTTCTCCATTATTTCCACGGTCTGAAAGAGCGGAGTCACCTCTCCATGGAATTCTATTTGTAGCAGGGAGTTTCCCAGATCGTTGTGCCTCGTAGAATAATATTGATGCATGTAAAACCTTGCTGTAATTGTACGGGGATGGTGATGTTGTAGCAGTGGAAGTCGTTGGTGTGCTTGTGACTGAGCTTGTAGTTGGCTTTAGAGTCTTGGTTTTCCTTTGAACAGTTGATGGAGACATGGTTGTTTGATGTGTCGTTGGTTGTGAAGAACTGGATGGAAAGGCTGTGGATGTCGATGGAGCGTTAGTCGTAGGCTTGTTTGGCTGGGTTGTTGGCATGGTGGTTGTCGGGGATGCTGTGGTTGTTGAAGCTATGGTTATTGGTGGCGATGTTGTCATTGAGCATGCTGCTGCGTTCAACTCTACATGAGTGTTTCTTCGAAACTTCACAAATGCATCTGGTACTGGCTTCCCATTTATCGACTTACTTGCTAGAAACGCCATTTCCAAAATAGAGCACTTTCCCAAGTCAGAATTCCATGGCATGTTCTTCAGTTTATAAACCTTTGCATTGTTGGACACTGATAAAATTTTTGCTCTCCATATCTGGAGCCCTGGAGCTGGTTGGGTGAATCTTATAGTCATTTTCCATCCTCCGGTTACTTTTTCAAGGAGTTGTATTCGAATGTTCATCTTGAACCCTGAATCCCACTGCTGCTCGAGTTTGGCGCTTGTTGTTTCACCATGCACCAATACAAAACCGCTCAGCCCAAGAAGAACAGCATTTGTTTAAACTAGCTTTTGAATAATAATTTATATGTATTTTACAGCGCTTAGAGCCGACTTGTATAGGCGCTATATAAATCATATTATATTATTATATTACTGTTGCATAAGACATCTCCAAATACTCTGACAATTAGAACAAAGAAATATGAAAATATTAATAAATGATCCAGCTATAAGCTGAACACACAATAGAATAAAGGACCTATAACGTGCGCTGATAATGCGTCGCCTCTTAATGATATTGCGACCCAGGTTCGAGTCCTGTAGGGCTTAGTGATGTCGTATGCGAGTAGAGGTTTTCGTTGGAGTCTCCCGACCTTTGCTTAGTTTGGAGGGTTTTGGGGTTCTCCGGTTTCCTCTCTCCGCCGTAAAAATCAACTTCTAAATCCCAATTCGATCTTTGGACTTTCACCTAGCACGGATCTTAGGGTTCCATTTGTGATTTTCTCACAGCGTTGTGATGTAACAGCCACAACTATTGGTACTGACTTTCAACAAATAATCAATGAAATTACGACAAAGGATGTCTCAATTCAATGCTTTATGCATCGATTATAACAAGCGACTTTAATCGTTGTATAGCCTCATTATAAACTAAGCTCGTTCCGATTTGTTAATAAAGGTTTCTTTTTGCTTACAGCTTTGTAAACAAAGTCAACTTTCGGCCATCATAAGATAAATACAGTGAACAAGATAAAACAATTGTGAGGAAAAAGACAATGTTCAGTATGTGGTTTTGCTGCCGGCGTACGTTCAACATAGGTTCACCAGCTTAAAAAAAGACTTTCTAGACTCGTGTCGCTGCGTTACCGTAGTTATCGATCGGAACACTGAATCATACTCCGAATAAAACACTTGTCAACCGAAAGCCTTACGAAAACACACTCTTAACGTCGTATGGCAATGATGAGGGTAATGACTTCTACCCCAATGTATACATAATCAAAAATATAATATGAAAGACTACTCAATAGGGAGAGCGCGAACGGGACTCTACTGAGTCCTATGCTAGGCACTTCCCTACGAACATTACATACAATAAAATAAATCAGAACAAGTAAATATACTATTATCAGTGACACGGACGCTCTCGAACTAGTGACCGTGCATGAGGCAATTCGATATCAAATACGCTGTTAAGGAGATCGCAGTATTTCAGCCTTAGAAACCAGTTACAATTTTAGAAATCTTTGCTTATAAGATAAAATAATTTATTATTCTATTGTCATCCAGCTGATCTGAAATAGTAATTCAAACCACTTTATGTCATCCGGTTCTAAACATAACTTATGAAACAAGAATGCTGAGAAGCTTAAAATCCCATGCTGCGGCTAATCTCATTCATTTTCGGGCCTCCACCAAGCATAAGACTAGAGGAAGGTCACCGAAGATCTGAGTATGCATACATTTAGATGTTTCTCCCAAATGCTTTACGTTGAATTGCCTATAATTAGAATTATTTACTTAAACAAGATAACAGACACATACACAGCATTTGTTTGTACTTCAGTAAGGTTATATGTATGTATAGCCTTAAACCATACTTATTTCTCCTTCAGTGACTGCATTGCTTCTTTTGAGCTGAGTGAAACTAAATTCCGGGCAATCCTCTAAAAATTTTGACTAACAAAAAAATGTCCAATAATTTAATAATAGCTTGATTTATGCATAAATTGTTATAATATGTTGGGGTTAGGTTAACTAAGAACTTAATTAAGCCGTTCTGGAAGGAATTGGTAAGATTAAAAGCATTATTTTATTACGACATGAAGCGGTTTCATTCAGGCTGGCTCTAGTCCAGTGTACAAGATTAAAAGAGTTTCCAATACCTCGTTTTCGTTATGGTCAGTGTTCTCTCTTTCTCTGGTACTTCAAGTATTCTTCTAACCTTAAGTTTATCTTGTCCAAGTCGCTTCTATAAGTGCGATGATTTAGTTTTGGAACGAGATAACAATTTTGTCGGGTTTTTATAACTGTGCAAGAGAAGTCAAGACCTTTGCGATGACGTAAGAAGTACGTCACAACTCACTTGTTTCCTAGACGCACCTACACGACACGACGTACACGTGTCCATATAATAGGTATAGCAGCTTGACATGTGTGTTTTACTTGAGGCAAACCTCAATTGATTATTGATCAATAAAAATTGTTTTTCACCTTAAGTACGCAAGGCTATTCCAATTTTATTTGGCTTTGTTATAATATCGTCACAGTTGGCTTAAAGTACGTCATTAGAAGACACTGCTTTGAATTATGCTGTTTATCTGTTTATCTGTTTATCTTTTGTAAACAAAGCATTTGAGATAACCTCAGTGTTAGGGAGGCTATTCGTTAAGGGAGACGTGGTTGAGGTAGATTAGTCAAGTGTCAAATCTCTACTGTGGCGGAGTTTAGCCAGCACTCAGAAAGGAATTTATCTTTTTATATAACATTGTAATATCACAATCACTGGTACTAAGTAACTTAACAAACATAACTTTGGCCAGTAACAGCCAGAAACCACAGCTTGATAGGACACACCGGCATATATCATTTTATCAAATATATATGTGCTCCAGATAAAGTGGTTTTTTTTCCAGGAAGTAAACATATTGTGATTAGAAAAAAACTGAGATGATAGATGAACTAAGGTCCTAATTAGTACAATCATTATTTGTCATCTTATAACTAGATTAATATCGATAGATAATGATTCGATCGAACAATTAATTTTGTTTGACGACTAAGTGCATGTTCATGTTCTTATTGTAAATTGGCCTGAAAAGCCCTTTTGGGAGTCCAATAAAGTGTATGTATGTATGTATAAACTGGCTGTCGAGGTGGTACTAAGTGTTCAAAGTGGTTCATTGTTGACCAATACTAGCGTATATCTCCTTCTGCGTAAACGGGTACCTTTCAGGGAACTTTGAAAGGGACTATATTGCACTAGTTTACTCTGTCTCATTTTTTTAGAGATAGTACAGACGTTTGGTTCGATATGAGACCTCTTTGAGTGCAAAAAAGTATAGTCTTCGATGGCGACACACTAATTAACAAAACATTTTACCAAAAGTTAAGATTGTGTGAAGTACTTGATCAAACAGATCAATGCTTTAAGGTTGACGTTAACGCTTACGTATAGTGTGTCTTATAAATTATATATGAATATGTGCATGTTTGTTGTCAATATTAATTAATAAATAACCTTAGACCCAGTTGACAAGATTCTCATTTGTTATACTATAACAAATAGTTATTATTAGTTATTATTTTTGTACATCAGGTCGAGATAACGACCAAAGGGAGTACCTTTTTTATTTTCCACTAATTCATTTCCTTATTCGTATTCCTTATTTACTCTCTTTGATAATAGAAATATAGAACACATATAGAAAACCAAATCAGCTTCTTTTTAATTTGACATTGTCTTTCTTCACTTTCACTGTTTCATTTTCTTGCCTCTATCATGAAGACTCTTGTCTAGTCCAAATTATATTGGGACGTCGACTTTGACTTTAATATGAACGGGAGGAACGGATTGACTGGGATTCTATTATAAAGCTGATTTTAAGGCCTCTGTTACGTAAAAACCTACACGGGAATTGATAACAAAGAGTGCCTGAATAAACTGAACAAAGCAATGTCAATTTATAACAATAGCCGTAGTCCATCTGAAACTAATAGTGGCTGAAGAAAGCTGAAGTCGCTCGGTAGCTTCTATTTCTGTTTGTTATTTTGTTTTTTGTTGTTGAATCCCTGATCACGTAAGAATAAAACATACAATCCAATTTTACAGAATAATAACTTTGATCATATATTTCGATAATTTTCGTAATTCATAAAAAAGGATAGCACGAGGGCTTCATCAATCGGACAAAATATTAAAATCGAAAGATGCACTGCTGAGACCTATGGAAAAAAAATGGCAGTAATGAAATGACCACTCTAGTTCAACCAATCAAATCGCTCAAATGACCTCTCGACCTCTCTCGTCTAATCACAATTCTGTGATACGACATCGTCACTATCAGCCTAAAACCACACGTGGAACTCCATTTTCGTTTTTGTAATGTCATCTTTTTAAAAATACTGTCAGTTCGCGGAGATTATCTTTTGAAACAATGGAAGAAAAAGCAATTCTTACTATTATTGTATTTATTGGATGTGGCATTTTCCTTTGCAATGTTGGTAAGTATATTTCTTGAAAGAACTGTACTTTTACAAGTTCCTGTAAGTCAGAATATGATGTAAATTATGTAGTGCCGTATTAAATACCCGATCAATATTATCATTTCCTGTAGAATCAAATACCGATACACGAGCCAGTCTCCGTATTAAATCATATACTTTATGTAGTGTTTAAAAAACGAGTAGGAGTGTTTTATCAGGTATGATATGCTTTTATACCTGATAAAACACAATCTACGAGTTTTTTGAACTGCTTAAAACACTCATGAACAATTTATAAGATTTTGGTTCAACTGGAGCCACCATACACGTCATGAACATGGATTTTTATACTTCGATAGAGATTTGACGTCACGGGCATGCGCAACCAGATTCAATAGAAGCTCCCACACGTTGGATATTGCGTGCCAAGGCAAAGACAGGCACGTTAGTCAAAGATCATTAGGGTTGACTATGACCAAGGGCACTAGGACAMCGAATGTGTTTGGATTTCTTTTTTTTTTTTTCCTTTCGATTATTTGAATTAAATTAACGTTATACTTGTTTACTTATAACGGTTGCAATGCAACCAAATCTTCCTTGCTTGAAGAATGATATCGAAAACAACCCTGTCTGTTGCCAAATATCATAATTAATTAATTAATAGCGCTATCCACCTTTCGTACGACCGGGCCTAGAATGGTAAATTCGATTTATGAATTTGTAAACTATTTCGCCGTGATGTTGGCTGTCATCAAGCTACTTTTGTAAAAGGATCCTTATTCTGGCGGGATTCCAACCCGTATAGCTTGCTGACAAACAAATATTTACATTTTTTATGTCGAGGTTCTCTTTGATTTCCAGTTGAAGCCAACGTCAGATTACTAAATGGCGTCAAAACCAACGCATTGTATTTTGGGATCCTACAAGTCTATCACAACAATGAGTGGGGAACAGTATGTGACGATGGATGGAATATAAACAACACCAAAGTAGTCTGTAGAGAACTTGGTTACCAACAAGGAATAGCTAAGCATTCAGGGAAAGGATCGGGGAGAACATGGATGGATGATGTAGTATGCACAGGGAATGAGAACTCAATACTCAGTTGTAGACATAGTGGATGGGGATTGGAAGACTGTGATCATTCAGAAGACATCGGTATGGTGTGTTACTCAGGTAACGATATTTATTCTAATTTTTTCTTGTTCAATAACCTAAACAATCGTGCGTTCTGATTGGCTGATTCAGCAGGTATTTTCTGTGTCTGCCAGCGGTCCCGTATCATGACGTCATCCGCTCGCGTGCGTTGTGGAGAAGGACCAGCCAGACGATTACCGACGGCCGCTAAGCAGACTAAATTCTATATGTATGCGAGTACCCTCAGCACTGATACTTTGCCTTTAATGTTTTAGATAAGTTACCAAATCTGGCTTTCAGATGGGCGAATAACGCATTCGCTGATGCTGGACGACTAGAAGTGCGTTACCACGGCACCTGGGGAGCGTTATGCACGGACAACATCGATCTTGAAGACGCTTACGTGGTTTGCAGGATGATGGGCTACAGCCAGGCTCTTGCAGTTTTAAAGATGCCAACGAGCTCCAGTGCAATTAAGTTCTCGCTAATTCTTAGTTGTAATGGTAATGAGAATTCGACCAAGAAATGCAGCACGGCAGTACTCAACAAAATAAACTCATGCAACACCAACATGGAGTCGTGGATTTCTTGCAAATCGGGTAAGAGAACCAAAACAAGTGTTTTGTGTTTTCATTATTTTTAATAACTTTAGTAATTAGTGGTTTCATTTTCAGTTCCTAAAAATATTTACTGCTTATCCTTTGTACGTACTATAGATGGAGTAGTCTCCTACGTATGGGAGCGTTGCGTGACGACACTAATAGAAGCAGCGTAGGAGACTATAGTGTACATAAGAAACAACGACAGAACAGCCGATGGCTTTTTTAGCAAGTGCTTTACAATAGGAAAAATCCTTAGTTTGAGTGGCAGCGAAATTCATGTGCCTTATCATGCACATTAAATCATTAAACAGAAAAAAAGATCCTGATTGGAAAATGGTGTGAAGATAAAGAGGTCTTTTTACAGAATACGATAACCAGCCAAATGGCGCACCTTTTATATCTCGGATATTCTATAGCAAGACGCTAGTTAGATGCACGATTAACCATAATTGGGTTGTTAATTATCATGGTAACGCATTTTTACTAGAAATTTCAGTTCATGCTGACGCAGCCGTTCGCCTGGTAAATGGTAGTGCCCCTAACGAAGGCCGAGTAGAGGTTCGATACTATGGAATCTGGGGCACAATATGTGATGATGATTGGGACCTTGCAGATGCTCATGTGGTCTGTCGTATGTTAAACTATAGCAAAGCATCATGGGCAGGAACTGCTAAGGTTAAAGGAAGGGGTCCTATTCTATTGGATGATGTACATTGTCGAGCCAATGAAAATACTTTGGCAGACTGCCGTAAGCCGGGTTGGGGTCAACACGATTGTGGCCACAGTGAAGATGCTGGTGTCAAGTGTGGAAATATGACTGAAGGTGAGATCAGTCGCCGATATCGTATCTCGTAGGCAATAGGCGATAGGCGATAGGCGATAGGCGATAGGCGATAGGCGATAGGCGATAGGCGATTCTATGAACTAAGAATATCTAAAATGAATTATGTTTCTTATAGTTTCGCGTCAAAAACACGGAAATTAGTGTTGAGATCGATATCCAGTGTTGTTTGTAGTCGACAACAGGGATCTTAACTATTTACCACCAGCTGCGGTAGCGACAATCAACTCTCGCCTCGCGGGTACCCAGATATTACGGACAACTCGCTATATTGACAAAGAAATGACCATCATTAATTCTCGCTACAGTCAACTCTCATTTCAGCGGACAGCCTCAGGACTGTCACTTCATGTCCGTAATAGCGAGCGTCGGCAATAGCGAGAATTAATTACGGCAATGAAGTAACAGTCCCGAATAAGCTGTCCGAGAATTGACTGTATGTGGAAAAGATTAAATGCCTAAGGAGTTTTTCTTATGTTTAAGCTCATACATAAAAACAATTTGTGAAATGGATCGTTTTTGATATATGTGATGACATCATCCCGCATGTGTAATTTACGACGATATATAACAAGCATGCATTTAATTAGTCGGCTTGACCGAAAAAAATAAGCTAGATTATAGCAGCTGAGATGAATTGGTAAAAAGTTAAGCATGGGTTTTACTTCATCTACGTTAAGCGGTTGGAAAAATATTTAAATTTCAAATTTTCAACTTGTCTTTTTATCCTGGCCTTCTCACCGTTTTCAAAAATAATGCTAAATTTTAATTTGTTCCAATTCACCCTAGCTAAAATTTAGCTTATTTTTGTGCTAAGCTAACCAAATAAATGCTTGTTTATTTAATTTTTTAAATTAAATATGACGACATAAATTGCATAGGTTTGGTGACGTCATCACGCATATCAGAAAATGATTCATTTCACACATTGGTCAAAACGTAAGAAAAACCTCTTAGAGATTTTGATCCTTTCCATGGTACYACCGTAACTGGTAAATACGCGTAAGAACCCCCCCAAAGGACTCGATTATTCGAGTTAAATTAAAATGTTTGCTCATAATTCCTTTCCGTCTTGGAATGACTTTTGGCCTATGTATCCTTTGACTCCGACAATCTTTATGAAAAAGGTATACAACCGGAAATAAATTACAAAACCTTTGAAAACGAACAACGGATTGAATAAGTTTATATGTTTCCGAAACATATGATGGAACCGTAAATAACCATGTGAGCCTTGTTTTCTATTCTATCATATTATAAGAAAACACCAAATCCTTAGTAAAATGACACTGGAAGTATAACTTAGTTTAACTGGTCTACTTTCAGAGGAGTCGGTCGTGACTGCCCGTCTCGTTGAAAGGAAAGAAAAACATGTTGGTTTCGTAGAAGTGAGATACAACGGGACCTGGATGCCAGTCTGTGATGATAGCTGGGATATATTGGATGCTCACGTGGTCTGTAGAATGCTAGGTTACAAAGGAGCCCAAGCACCAATACGACAGTATCGTCAAGAAGTAAATGGATTATGGATGGGTGGTGTGGAATGTAGTGGCGATGAAGTATCGATTAGTGAATGTTATCACCGTGGATGGACAAACACTCGATGCCGTGGGAACTACTATGCTGGTGTCATGTGTAAAGTGACAAAAGGTAAGTCTTTTTTTCTGATATTTTATCTTCTCTCGTAGAATATCAAACGTTTGATTGATTTTCATTTCACTCATTATTCTTTCTTCCTTTTCTTACAAATACAGATCTTCCACCGATACAAATTCGTTTGGAAGAAAGACCAAAACCAGACTCTGGTCGTGTTGCAGTTCGCTATGGTAATATATGGGGGTCAATATGTGCAAGAGGACTAGAGATGAAAGATGCTCTGGTAATATGTCGTATGTTCAGCTATCCCGGAGTAATTTCTGGGTACATTTCTCAGTCTGTAAATGGTACTATCTGGTTGAGTAACCTGGAGTGTAATGGAACAGAGAAGTCAATAGCTGACTGTCGTCATCGAGGATGGGGACAAACCACTCCATGCACTCATGACAGCGATATTGGTGTTAACTGTAAGGCAGGTAAGGAAAATAGTTTTACTTCAAAAGTTATTTGTATGGACGTAACTCACAAAAACTAAATCGCATTGAAACTATTGCCTTAGCATTGAAAATTAGAAATGAGGAATGAGAGAAGAAAGAATAAAGTAGAAAGGAGGGAGAAGAGAGGGGAAAGAAAAACCAAGGTGGCGCAGCCGTAAAATTTGTTCAGTCTCCAAACCCAAACCTCCAAATCTAGAGAATATTCAGTTCCTCGCTTTGACTATGAGAAGCTGAGTTAGAAGGTTATAAAAAAAGTTTTTGTTAGAATACGTGGATCGTAAGTCTATTTTCTTCATTTTCTAACACTATGAACACTATTGCCGTGCGCAGCTGATGCTCCTCGGTTCCAGATCAATGGAACCAACGCCATCACGAAATCAACGGTGGAGATCTTGTTGAACAATTCACTGACAATTGACTCTGGACTTCAAAGGTACGAAATAATATCGCAATTGCGAACCAACCCACCAACCCACCAACCCACCAACCCACCAACCCACCAACCCACCA